TCTTTCTTTAGCCTTTTGCCTCGGGGCACATGCCCGGACCGCTAAGGCAGCACAGGAACGCCACATCGGACTCGAGAATGGTTTTATCGAGCAGGGCGGGGGGGGGAGGGTGTCTGATCTTCAGAGACCTTGGTGTCAGCCAGCTGCTGCTTCAGGGCGTGTGGCAGGGAGACCCAGTGGAAAGAAAATGTCATTCAAAAAAAAAAATCGGGGAAGCAAACACAAGTGGCTGCAAATAGAGGGGGGGTACCCCATCCCCCCATCCCAGGTGAAAGCTGCGGCAGGAGCCCAGGCGGTGGAAGCTGCCCCCACCTGGCTGAGCGCTTGTTTGTTTCTCTCCTCCTTGTAGGTGCGGATTCCAGCAGACAGGAAAATGAAAAACTCAGTTTGATCCTTCTGCTACCCTCCCTGGCTGTCTCCTCCCTGGGCCCGCCGCCAAACCTCGCACGCTCCAGCGCCCGGTCTGCCTAGACGCTCACCCCGCCCCCAAAGAGCCCTCTGAAGTGAAGGGGTGGGCAGCTGGCGGCTTGCCCATCGCTCAGCCTCCCTGCCTCTATATAAACACACACATTGACTTTCTTTTTGACTCCAACTCACATTGAGCGAGGATTTAACAACCCGCCCTCCCTCTATAGCAACCAAGTGGAGAAAACTCGAGGGCTTACAATAACCAGCCTATATATAGCTATAGAGCGATTTCTCTCTATTGATATATATTTATTTAATTCTTACTCCATCTCTCCAGCTCTTTGCTGAATATTTCACCCTCTAGATCCATGCTATATTTTTCTGGCTTGCATTGAGAGCAAAGAGACCTATAGCATTTGCATATAATTTTTTTTATTTGATTGCACACACACACACACACACAGTTTGTGGATTTTGTGTGTGTGGTTCCCTCCCTCCCTTTCCCCCCATTTTTGGCTCTCTGCTCTGTAAAAGTTGACTTAAAAAGTTTTCAGAGAGGGGGGGATCTTATTTTGCTGCTGGTGGTGGTGGTGGGGGAAAGAGAACCGGACACCTCCCTACCCCACCCCCCAAATTCCGATCTCCTCCCCCTTCCCTGCTCTGGACTCACCCTGGATGAAGCGCTCCACCCTCCCTCCCTTTCCCCCCATTTTTGGCTCTCTGCTCTGTAAAAGTTGACTTAAAAAGTTTTCAGAGAGGGGGGGATCTTATTTTGCTGCTGGTGGTGGTGGTGGGGGAAAGAGAACCGGACACCTCCCTACCCCACCCCCCAAATTCCGATCTCCTCCCCCTTCCCTGCTCTGGACTCACCCTGGATGAAGCGCTCCAGTGGGTGACTTTTTTTTTATTTGCCTTTTTTTGGTGCCTGTGTGCGGTGCGTTTCAGAGGGTTTGGGTTGTTTTTCTCCCCCCTCCA